GAGAGAGAGAGAGAGAGAGAGAGAGAGAGAGAGAGAGAGAGAGAGATGATTAGTGGGGGAGTCTGAAGGTTATGAGCAGGGCTTCTGACACCTGGCATTCAGACTGATGAAGTGTGCTACAGCTCACTGAGCATGCTCTAATAGGGCAGGACAGACACACACACGCACACACACATACACACACACACACACACACACACACACAAACCACTTTCCTTTTAGTGAAGTAGTGACCTCTGTTGTGCTTTTTCAGGGTTTTTCCAATTAAATCAATGCTTAGAGCGGCCGTACTGCTGCTCCATATTGAACCGGTTTCTCTCTCTGACTGTTTCCTTTGTGCCTCAGCTCGTACACAACAAGGAATCAGCTCAGGTTTGAAGTGTGCTTTTTCAAAGATGCTTAGTGAAGATGAACGCTGCTGCTTGTGGGTCACTCCACCAGTAGAAACAAAGGAGTCGTTCTTAGAACAGAACCACAAAATGGACACATTGACCAGTCCGTCTTCATGCCCAGTGAAATCGTTCAAATTTCATATAAATTCAGCATGAAACGTAAGGAAACTTATGTTTGGTTTTGCTGTAACAATGCTTCTTGGCAATAAATTTTATACTGTTGGAAAACTTCCCTTTTAAACGATGCCACATTTGTAAGGAACATGCATTTGGGTATAGGGAGCAAAACGTAAAATAAAATCTCTCTAAAATGTCACACATTTTCATCATTTTGCTCACTTTGAGAGTAAAATCCTAGTTTAAAAATTTTCCACAACCATTTTATTGTTATCAGTGTGCATTGCCAATGCAATGCACACTATTGTTTTCCTGTTTCTCTTTAATATTATTCAACTTATTCCATTTTCTTCCATGTCGCCACGCTACTCCTCCTGCATACTTTGTCCTACAGCTGCCATTGTAAMTTCRATCTGTAAAGGTCCTATGCCAAATGTTTGCTATGCCTTCTGGTGCCTGTACAACTTGTAGTTTTTGAAATATTAATGTTTAAACTTTATTCCAAAATTCATATAATGAGAGTCAATGGGGCCTTGTAATGGTCCAATACTGCCCCCAGCTGTACTCAACTTGGTACAACTGTATTTTGATGTTTTACTATAATATTGTCTTAATACTGCTCTATTGTTGTAATATTATGCAGTTTAGTGTCAATAATTGCATTGGCAATGTAGCCTCTTTCTGCACACATACAAACCAACCCCTGCCACCACCTTCAGCCACAGCTCCATTGGTCTAATGGTCAATGTCATGGACTTTCATGTGGGAGATCAGGGTTCAAAACCCGGCTAATGRAACTTTAAGAAAAACTCTCTTCAAACTTCRTATTGTCACACAATTACCTTAATTCTAAACACCTGCTGACATGACAGGCACAAGCTGGTATAGAAAACACATTTGAACTTGGTAAAAGTTCATTCTGCAAGTCCAATGCTGCAGGCAAAGCCATGCTGCAATGACATGCTACAAGGCAATGCACACTTGTTTTTACATCGTAAAAACCCATGTCTGGTTAGATCACTGTTTTTACAATTTTTTCAATTTAAATGTCTGAACGTTAAGTTTAAAATCTAAATCTGTAAATCTAAATGTAAAATTAAATCTTGTGTTGAAATTTACATTTAAGTATTTTTGGAATGGAATGCAGCCTTTGCTGTCGGTGCTCAGGTTTTATTGTGACGTCATCATCCTGAGACAAAAGCAATCCTTAACGCTGCTAATGCTGCTAACGCTGGTATTTAAAATTTTAATTCAAAATGTGTTCATTGAAAACAATATGAATGCCACCTGTGGTCCTGCAGCTCGGACACGGGCTGCCACTGCAAGTTTGTTGTCTTGCAGGAAAGTGTTAGCAGCATTAGCAACGTTAGCAGCATTAGAGTTAGCAGAGTTAGTTAGCGGTTTTAGCGTTTGCTGTTGTGTCAGGATGATGATGTCCTAACAAGAGCCGAGCGCCAACATTTAAGATTTAATTTTGACATTTAGACCAAGAATTTTAAATTTCGTCATAACATTTAAATTTAACATTTAGTAAAAATGTGCTAAATTTAAGACCTGCAAGCTAAATAACAGTAGAAGACTAGTGGACATTTTAAAACTATTTTTTACACTCAAACTCAGCTATAATGAAGATGTGTTGGTGGCATTTTTTAGCATTTTATTTTATCCTGGCATCACATATTTGCGGGATGAGCAGTAGAGCAGAGAGCATGTTGGTTTCGCACATGAAAATTTGTCAGATCCTCTTCCAAACAGCTTATTCTGCTGTTGCTGTTGACACGTTTTGAGCTTCTGGTTCTCCCAGGTTCTGCCACTCAGCTGCCCGCTGTAAGATTTATCACTAAGAAGCGTTTGTACAACAAAGAAATAATCCAAACACAAATGTCCTTACTTTTTAAGCTAGTTTATTATGATCATATAATTTCATTTAGACCATGGTTTGAACTGTTTAATTCCAGCTGAATAAAATTAGATGCATTCCAATTCAGTTAGTTTAACTTAACCAATCTGTCCCATTTTGCTACGTTTTGGTGCGTTCAATCAATCCTGTTTGAACTCAGTAAATCAGTGTTTTGCATTTGCCTTCCACTAACATCCTTGTAGCAGCCAATAAAAAAATGAGCATTTAAAAAAATGGAAGGTTTCGTATCTAATCCAAAGTGTTAAATAATAATATATTATTTTAATCAGCCTGTTTGTGCAGCTCAGAGTCCAGATTTAGCTCAGGAGCAATCCTCTTTCTTTTTCACAAGGCTTGAAACAAGCAGACCACGCATCCGTGCCAGTTTTTTCTACAGCCATATGTTCCCATAGACACACAGCTCTACAACACATATACCTCTTTTTCATGACTCRGTTTATCTCACTCCCACTCTCTTTCTGTTGTCTGAAGTGACCGTGCTTTTTTATTCTTTTCTACATTCTTTAATAAGGACATTTTCCTCTCAACCGGTTTGAAATCCTCTGAGTGTGGCTTCCTGTGGCGATCCCCATCARATCGGTATACAAAGACAGCCAGGATTCAAGAAATCCTTGTTTTTATGCGGTTGTAAGATTTTGGAAGCGCTGCTCTTGCATATGCTGATCCCTCAGATTCTCAGTGTCCCAATTTTCCTCCGCCACAAAACTTGAGGGACACATTTGATGACTCTCACAGTAGAAGTTTTATGGCTTTCTTTTGCCTTTGCCAGGAAGTTTGAGAACTGACAAAGGAGGGAAAAATGTGTCAAGCCTCTTATTTTATTATAATTTCTCTTTCTGTCTCTRTTCAGCTTCAGAAGAGAAAAGAGAGGGAGGAGCAGCTGGAGGATGTGATCCAGGCCTACGAGAAGATTCACATGGAGAAAAACAACCTCCAGAGGGATCTGGATAAGATGGTCAGAGGCGTTACTCGTTTCTCTGCAGCTTCACACGAGTCAGAGATTTTTTTTATTTCTTGCAGTTTGACACTMCGTCAGTGATGAGCAAATATAAAAATCAAGTCTGTTATTATGAGAAGTTTTCTTCCATATTTTCAGGACTTTCTGAAATAAATAAAAAACAGAGAGGAGAGTGTTATAACCCAACAGTCTCAGAGTTCACATGATTCCTTTAAATCCATCTTGGAAGATGAGCAGCCGTCTTAAAGGAGATGTAGCCTGCTTCTAAATCTTTTTCCACAATTAATCCCTTCAGTTGGGGTATATATAAAGTGGAACTGCTCCTTATTGTAACTCCACAATCCCCTCTTTCACCCCCTTTTCCTTAGGTGAGTCACCGATCAACTCGTTTTGAGGCTGTCTCTTTAAATCAAAACAAGGTGCTTTAGACTCCGCCCCCCTCCAGCTTCCAGACCAGTCCATTCTAGTTTGATAGAGGGGTTAAGACTATAAAGCTGCGCAGAAACATTTTTATTTACAAATAAAAGATGTCAACAAGGGAAGACTTGTCCATCCAGCCTTACATGTTGGAGCCAGAGTCTGACCCAGAACCAGAGTCTGACCCAGAACCAGAGTCTGACCCAGAACCAGAGTCTGACCCAGAACCAGAGGAGAATGAAGACCAACAAATACCAACTTTAGTTCAGAAAACATTGAAAATAAAGAAAAATCGGACCCAAACAGAACATAAAGATATTTACACAGCACCAGGAGAGACTAACCCGTAATTTACACTACATGCGTTCCGGCTTCGCTCCGCTCCGCTCCGGGCCGAACTCCGCTGCAAATACGCACCCATTATAATGAGTGAGAGTGTTTACACTGGCTGCACACGGCGGTGGTGAGCGGACGGCGATCCGTCACAATTAGAACAGATCCTATTTTTGCTGGACACTGGAGCTGCGCCGGAGTCAATTTTAAACATTACGTCGCACCAACAGGAAAAGAAACGAGCACAACATCCGTATTTTCAAAATAAGACACTTTTAGGCTGGATAATTTGTCGGAATAATATTGAAATTGCAGCTATATTAATAAATGTACAGATGTATTTCTACACAAATGCTGTCAGAATGTAACGTTCTGTTTGGGAAGCAGATGGAAACATGTAGSATGAAGCATATGTGTACGTTTTCTTTAGATTATTCTTTTTATGTACAGTGCCCTGAGACAACGTATGTTGTGACTTGGCGCTATATAAATAAACTTGAAATAAATAAACTTGAACACACACGATYCACGTGGATTTTATTTTGAAATCAGAAGTTTCAGAAAGACAACAGTGAGACAGTTTCAGCATAGATACCAAAAGCCTTTATATCATTGTTTTCAGCTGTGTTTGGAGTTTGTRTTTCACAGAATTAATTATTTTTTGCTGTTACTTCCACACTTATCACTGAATTTATTGCGCAATCTCCTTCCTGCACGTCTGTCGGAGTAGAGCGGAGGTAGTGTGAACTGGACTTGAAACGCATATCTGCGACCCACGCAGCGCAGCGGAGCGGAGCCGCATGTAGTGTAAATTAGWGACTAAATTAAAATTTCTGCCTCTTAGAGACTAAAGTACAACAAAATGTGTTTAACAGCTAAAAAGGTGGATTTTGCAGGATATGTGTCCTTTAATCACATCCTGGATGAGTCAGTAAGTGTGAGAGACGTGTCATCTCTTTTTTTCTACGTTAATCGTTTAATATCTCTAATAAATCGCTCTGTAATGTAAGACAGGCTGTGCAGCTGAAGCCTCAGATGAGCTGTATTTACGACCTGCAGACGGAACGATCTGTTCCTCACTGCAAACATCACAAATGTAGATGAGTGGATTTTACCACCCCTCCATGCGCTCGCAAGTGCAGAGATAATAGCTGRGTTTCACTTGCTTCTCTGTAACAGGTAGCCCGCAGAGGTCGCTTCACGCCTACGTGTATTTATCTTAATGTCGGCGAATAACTCGAAGCTAAACGTGGGGAACCTGCGTGTGTTTGCAGACCAACCTGGTGGAGAAACACGTGGAYAGGACCCTGGGCCTGGAGTCGGCTCTGAGGCAGAGGGACGAGTCGCTGCAGAAGCTCAACATGCAGCTGCACAGCAAAGACATGCAGTACCTGCAGCTGCACGCCGGACCCGACAAACACAGTAAGACACGCTCGGACCACATTCCTTCAGCCTTTAAATGAAGTTGTGCTTTTCTTTTTATTATTACTGAAGCTGTGAGTGTGGCCTTTTAGAATGAACATCATTTGAACGTCAGTCATTCCGAGCTATCGGCGCTGCCAGCCTGCCGCTTCCATCTGCACCACCGAATCATCTCCTTTGTGTAACGACTCCACAACCAAATGTGTCAAAACCTAGAAACGAGTTCGATCCTGTGCGCAGAATAATAATCTGTCACGATTTTGGACTCAGAGTGGGTCGTTTTTTTAAGCAAACTTTCGGCGTGGAAGAGGGTTCCGATAACTCCCTTGGAGTGACGCTAAACTCTGCCCTCTTCAACAACGTGGGCGGTTGAAGGATGGAGGAAATGTGTCACCGCCACCTCAACAGATGCCTGCGCTGATAGTATTCCCAGATGAAGAGGAGGTATCACTCTGCATAAGCTTCAAACTGTCACATAAATCTTAAAAAAAAGAGCAGGGCACAAAAGCTGGGTTTTATTTCGTTTGTTTAATTTTTGTGTTCTTGTATTAGCTGTGCATGAATGAGAGGGAATGTGTAAAACAAACGTTGCGGCGCTGACTGTGCACAYTATGTTTGCAGCTTTAACTGCACATGTGAGTGTTCTGGTGAGGAGGCAGGATAAAAGATGATACTGCTGTGCTGTTGCTATGTCTTCTGTTGCTCAAGGACTGTGTGAGCGGAGCTGAATCACTAACCAGCCCACACAGATCACATCACCCAGGTGCACGCTGAAAGATGCTGCCCTTGGAGGAAGTCAGCTCTTTTGCTCCCTCACGGTCATCGATTGAARACAACAAAAGGGCGGCGCATTAGTCAGGGGAGAAGCAATAAAAAGCTCAGAGTTTTTTTGTTTTGTTTTTTGTTGTTTCTGATGTGTGTTGGCATTTTTTTTTTACCTGTTCTCCTCAGTGCTGGACTGTCCAGCCCTGACCCTGCAGAGCTCGCGCAGCCTGGACACCCTGTCCGACCTGAAACTGCAGCGGCTGGAGGCGGAGCTCGAAGGGGCGCGGCACGAAGCCCAGGGGGCGTGCCAGCGGGAGGAGGAGCTGAAGGCGGAGTGCGAGAGGCTGAAGGATGAGATGATGCAGCTGCAGAACAACCAGCGGGAGCGGGTCAGTGTCGGTTTGAAGTTTACGGCTTTAAGACCCAATCAGCTGCTTTAAAATGTGTTTTAATGGTCTTTAAAAGCTGTAGGAAACGTAAAAGTCTGCAAACTCTTTCCTGTCAGAATGCTACGATTATTGCTCTATAGTGAGTTTAAACAGCTCTGGTGCTTCTGTTTTGATGGGTTTTTTCAACAGAAGTAGCTGATTTTCGCAAAAGAGACCCACTTTTCACTACATGCTCTTTAAACACGAGCACTTAAAGTGTATCTTACCCCCTCTGTGAAAAGATAACTCCGCCCCAAGGCGAAATTTGAAAAATGCATCAAAGTG